GTGGGCTCTCCTCCCCGAATGCTGCAGCTCTTTCTCATGTTGATAATTCGAATTAGAGGCCAGGAGAGCTGTAGTAATCCCAACTCTCTTACTTGCCAGTAAGAAATTCCTAATTCAAGCATGGCTGGATCCAGGTGCTCAGACAATGAAACAGGGCTCATTCTCCATCTCTGGACTCTGCTTTTCTCCATGTTACTCTATGTAGTACCAAGAAGGCCACCAGCAACTTCCAACTTCCATTCTGTCACTGTGCTATTGCATCTCTTTGGCTCCCCTGAACCAATCACCCTGTCACTGTGGACCAGTGGGATCTAATGCTCAGGTTGGCCAGGCCCGGGTCATGTGCTGCATCCACCCCTGGACTCAGTTCTACATGAACACTTGAATTAGGGGTGGGAAGGGGGGAAAATTTTCTAAAAGAAAACCAGGGTGCTTTTACCAGAAGACAGGGGAACGCATGCTCACTCGACAGGCAGAAATAACAGTGCCCACAACAAAACCTCACAGATCTCCTGAGCTCCCGCTACTCAACCTTGAATGTGCATATAAATCACCTGGGGTCTTGTGAAAATGCAGGCTCGGATTCCTCGGTCTGAGGTGGGGCTTGAACTTCTGCATTTCTCACAAATTCCCAGGAGAAGCCTATTCTGCTGGCCCATGGAGCACACATGGAGTCCATGGCCCCAGTCCAAGCCCTCCCTTGCTAGATGAAGGAGCAGAAGCCCAGGAGGGACCAGGCTGCACCCCAGGCCTGGGCCGCATGCCCAGTGGGTCTCGCTCCATGCCCCTCCTCTCTACCCCCCTTCTCTTGCACTGTTTCAGCATTTGGGCTTCATTGCGTGGTTCCTGGGGAGGAGGGAGAGGATATTCTCCCCAGAGGCATCTTGGAAAACCCCATCTCTGCCATGAATGATGATCGTCAAGGCCTTTACAGCTTCATCCTGGCCCAAGGCAGGGGAGCCCCCAGGAGCCTCCTGGCCTGGAAGCCCAGGTTTTATGCATTCCGTGTAGTGCTTGCCCTCCGCAGGCCCTGCTACTGACACTAAGAAACGCTCTGAGCACAAATTGACAAAGCCTGGGAGGCAACGAGGCCACACTTGGAGCCGCAGCCCAGGGCAGCAAGGCTGATGGTCAAGAGGAAGGCAGAGCAGAACGTGCTTTTCCAGAAACAGCAAGGTGCACTCCAAGTCTGGGGTGCATCGCCAAGTGATGGGGTCTCCTCCAGGAGGAAAATGTCCCGCAGCACCTTCCTCCTGCACCTCCTCCGCCTCCCTGCTGTCCAACAGGAGGGTGCCCTAGCAGGCTGTTTCCACCCCTCACACTCTCCAAGATCTTTTCCTTGAAGGATCTGTAGCCCAGCCCCTGACTCCTTTCTTGAGTGTTAGATGATGTCAGGAAATTCTTTAATTTCCCTCTGTTCTCCCCAAAGGCCACCGTAACCCAGGCTGGACTCATTTATCTTCATGGGCTTGTTGGGGGCAATATAGCATGGTGGTTAAGGACTGGGGTCAGTCAGCAAACCACAGCCTTTGGGCCAAATCTGGCCACAGCCTGTTTTTGTAAATAAAGTGTTTTGGGGACATAGCCATGTCTGTTTATTTAGGCATTATCGAGGACTACTTTCGAGCTACCATGGGACAGTTGAATATTGTGACACAGACCATATGACTCACAGAGCCTGAACCGTTTACTTTTTACAGGAGATATTGGCCCGTCCCTGGTTTGGAGGAAGGCCTCTGGAGCCACCCTGCTAGGGTTCGGATCTTGGCTCTGCGGCTTCCTAGCTGTGTGATCCTGGGCAAGTGACTTACAGCCCTGTGCCTCGGTTTCCCCCGGGGTTCCCATGAGGACTGAATGAGCAAATGCACCTGAAACACTTGGAGTGGTGCTCGGTCTGCGTTAAGTGACATGGTGCCTGGTGTGAAAGCGCCGATGGGGTGGGGCGGTGTGGATGTGGAGGAGAAAGGAGTTCTCTCCTGACCTCTGAGAGTCCCGCAGGGCAGTAGGCTCCGCATCGTGTTCGCCATCAGGATAATAGCTCCCTCCCCCAAGCTTTACCCGGTGAAGGTTTGCATGGACTGAATCGGCATGCCTCAGCTGCATCGTAGATTCACACACACGGGAGGTGGGCCTCTTCCGGCTCTTAGTTTTGGGCCCCAGGGGAGTCCCAGAATGAGAAATTGAAGGAGGCCCTCCCTCTCAGGTTCACGCCTGTGCAGGGCACTGAGAGGGAGGGCCTCCTTAAACGTGGTTCCCTGTGCGGTTCACTCGCGCCACCCTGGGCCTGGCCCTGACCACCAAGTCCCGCACTGCCAGCTCTGAATCCAGCATTGGAACAGGTGGCAGTTTCTTTGCTTGACCACATGACACACTGGGCATGCTTCTAGAGGCCATGGTGGACGAAACGTACACTTAGGGGGAGCCTGGCCCCCTGTGTAGAGTTGATGCCACGTAAGGTGAATAGTGCAGCCCCACTGCACTCTGTGTCACAGCCCCAGGCCAAGGGCTCAGCCTGTGTCACTGCGGGTCATCCTCACAGCAGTTCTGCAACAGAGGTGTCATTTAACAGATGCCACTTTAACAGATGTAGAAAGTGGTGCTCAGGGAGGTCATGTGACTTGCCCAGGGTTGCACAGGGAATGAGCATCAGAGTTCTAGGAATCGCACCAGTCTGCCTGAGTTTAGAACCCAGGGTCTTCGCCACACGTGAGCAACTCTAAGGCAACTACGAAAAATGGCAAGGGGCTGGCCCTGTGGCATAGTAGTTGAGTTTGGCATGCTCCACTTTGGCAGCCCGGGTTCATGGGTTTGGATCCTGGTTGTGGACCTACACCACTTGTCAGCCATGCTGTGGCAGCGACCCATGTGTAAAGTGGAGGAAGATTGGCACAGATTTTAGCTCAGGGCTAATCTTCCTCAGGAAAAAAAAAAAAGGCAAGTGCCCAAAGGAGGATTAGCAACTAGGATTCAGCTGTAGGTAATGGACCCTGGACCACTGGAGCTTAAAGACTCTTCTTGTTTTTCTCTCACATGAACAAGGCCTTTGGAGACAGCCAGGTAGCCAGGAGGGACTGGTGGCTGATGCCCCCAGGGACCCAGGCTCCTTCTGTTTTTCCAATGGGCTGTCCTAAGCCTGTAGCTTTCTTCCTTATTCTCATGAGATGGCTGCTCTGCTTCCAAACATCACATCCACATTCCGTCAGGAAGAAGGCTAGAAGGATAAAGGGCAAAAATCCTATGTCACTGCGTGAGTCCTGGTTAGCAGGAAAACAGGGGCTTCCTCAGCAACTCCACCTGCAGACTTCCAGCCACTCACACCTGGCTCACACAGCCATCCCTAGCTGCAAGGGCCTCTAGTGATGTGACCATCTGAAAGGGGCACATTGCCACCTTGACAGAATCAGGATTCCCTTAGTAAAGGTGGAGAGGGCAGTGGATAGCTACTGGGTAGGCAGAGTGTCTCCAAAACGTAGGCAGGATTTGGATACATAGCGAAGATTTGGGAGAATGGCAGTTAGTTTGGGAGAATGTCATGAGCAAAGGCACAGAGGTGGGAGAGTTTAGGGCACAGGTGAGGGTCAGGACTCTGTCACAAATAATAAATCCTACTCACATTGGCTTAAGTGAAAAAGAGAAAGTTTCAGTGCTATCTTGCTTCAGGCATGGCTGGATCCAGGGCTTCTGAACAAATCCATCAGGACTCTGCTTCAGTCTCTCAGCTCTCTTTATCTCTGTGTTAGGGGCAGGGTGGTCCCCAGCAGCTCCTGGCATACCTCCCTTTTGCTTAGCCCCCCTGCAGGAAGAGAGCACCTCCTCCCCACAGCTCTAGCAGGAGTCCTAGGGCTACTCTCAGTGAGAATTGATGTCTCATTCCCATCCCAGAACTGGCGAGCCTGGGTGTGTTGTGAGGGATGGAATGGGCTGATTGTGCAGACCTGAGTCACATGTCCACCTTGTGTCACAGGTAGACTGAGAGTGGGGGGAGGAAATGGGCCCCAGAGGAAAATGAGGGAGGTGTCACCTGAAGGCCCAGGAATGGATGCTGGACTGACAAATCTGCAGGCTGCAGGACAAATACTCAGGGTACAGGAAGCAGTTCTGCTTGGCCCAGTTGTTGGGTGTGTGACTGGATGCACAGGAATCAATGTAGACAAGATAGTTGGGGCCAGATAGAGAACTTCACACGCCAGGTGTATCGTTTAGGGTACAGGTTTGGCTGCTAAAGCAGGGAGACCCAAAAAACAGTGTCTTGAACAGCATGAAAATAGATGTCTCTGTGACACAACACTTCTAGTGGTGGACAGTTGTCCTGCTCTGGGAGGTCATGGAGGAACCCAGGCACTATTTTGTTGCTCTACCGTCCTCCAGATGTTGCCTCCTCCCCACAGACCTCAGCAGCTCACCACCTGCACATTCCAGTTGGGCGAGGGGGGGCTCTCCCTTTCCCTTTACAGGCACAGCTCAAAGGTGGACACTCCCCTCCCGCCCACCCATTCCTCACTGGCCAGAACATGTTCATATGGTCCCTCCCAGATGCAGGGGAAGCTGGGAGTGCCAGGTGCACATCTGGAAACATGATACAAGAGAGGAAGGGAAGTGGATACTGGGGGACAGCCTGCACACCAGACCAAGGAGTGGGTTTCCCGAAGAATGATCCGAGGAATGCTAGGAGGAAGAGAGGCCCCATGACCACATACCCTTTCCATGGCCCCAAAGGTGGGCGGAGGGGGGCGGCAGTGGAGGGGCATATTAAGTTATTTCAAACCAAAAAGTTACTAAAAAATTCTACTGAGCACATCCTGGAGAGTAGGAACCAGTAAAAACTTTTGAACAGAGGTGGCATGACCCATAGGGCTGGCCTGCACGAGAGGATGGGGGGCGCCAGCGTGTATCAGGACACAGCTGCTGTCATTGACAGAGGTACCACCTTGCAGTCAACCCCTAACATGCTCGCTCCTCAGAAGAACCCTGTCTGAAACGGTCTGAATCTTTGTGTACAGAAATCCGTGCAGATCAGAACAGAAGCGGGCCCGCGGCTCCACATCGAACCTCCTCTAGACTATTCTGAAGATTTTGAGCCGTGTGAGGACGTGACTCTCAAGGCAAAAGATGCTTCTGGGGATCATCCACAGGTAGGATGGGCCTCAGCCCAGTGCCACAGCGGCTCTGGGGGGCGCTTTCTAACAGTTGTGTATTTCTTCCGTCACCCATGCCCCTGCTCTCCTTCTCTCTTGCATTCATTTCCCACACTTCAAGGAGCACACAAACCATGTGCTACATGCTCTGCTAGGCACCCGGTGTCCAGAGGTCAGTAAGGCTGGTATCTGACCTGAAAGACGCAACAGCATACAATCCCTCTACCTCCAGAGGGAGCTGAGAGATGGGGCAAGGCGTGGGGGGACCAGGAAGGAGAGTATCCAGGAAGGCTTCCTGGAGACAGTGATATTTGCCTGGGTCCTAAAAGCTAAGAAGGAGTGTGAGGGGCAAGGCGGTGAGGGTAAGTAGGCAGAGCTGATGCTCAGCCTGTCTGCACCTGTACGCATGCACCTGTTGTTAAATATTTTGAATATCGCCCCCTGGGGCAGCAGAAGCCACACACAGAAACACCCAGAGGCCCTGTGCAGCTGTGGCTCGGAGGGCGCGGCCGTCCCGCAGCCGGCGAGGCGATGAGCAGGGTGTTTCACTCCTCTTCCTCAAACTGTCACTTCTTTTCTGAAATCCTTGGAACCTCAGCAGTACATCCCAGCCTTCTGTTCCACGAGCATTTGCCAGGCACCTGCCTTCCAGCATCAGGCTCCATCCCAGGCGCCAGAGACACAGAACTGAACAGAACTGACGAGGGCCTATTCCTCAGCCACTGACACTCCAGGGGGAGAGGGATGATAGAGAAGAAAAGGAAAAAGAAAGAATAAAACCAAGAAATAAATGATGAGATAATTTCAGGCCTTGATATATGTTCTATGAAGAAAACAGAAGTGGGAGATGGGACAGTGGGTGGTGTGGGAGAGAGGGCAACATTAGGGTAGAGAAGGAAGGAACGCTTCTCTCAGGTTTGACAGTTCAGCTGAAACCTCATGGATAAGAAGGAGCCTGCTTATCAACAAGCAGTGGGAACAGCCTTCCAGGCAGAGGGAACAGCAAGCACAGATGACGTGAGGCTGGGCTTGTTCAAGGGGCATGATGCAGGCACAGAGTGAGCAAGGGGGAGTGTAAAGTGAAGTGAGGTTGGAGAGGTGGGGGCAGATCAGGCAGTGCACAGTGACCTGGGCGCTGGTGGGGGTGCAGGCTGGGGTGAGGTGGGTAGATAGATCTTATTCCAAGGGCATCACTTTTATAAGTAGAATGAGTGAGTTAGATCATCTCCATGGTTAAGCTGGAGCAAAATTATCGAGAGGTGGCAGGTCAAAGTCAGTTGCCAAGCCAGTCCCTGCCCCGTTTGCCGGAATGCCTTCGTTCAGCTGTGGGCCCGGGCTGAAGATTCAGTAGCCTCACCAGAAGGACAGAACTTGCTTCCGCATGTCGCTTCTGTACCAAAACGTGCTCTCAGGAAATGAAAATGACGCATAAAGGCACTGAGAATGTTGTCCAGGAAACATTCCTCTGATCAGTGTTGCGTGTTGCTGGTTCCGTCTTTGCTCATAAAGGAAGGGCAGTTAAGGAGCAAGGGATCACTTTATTTCACATCCCGTCTGCAGAAGGTCTGAAACTTAATTGGAAGTGTTTGTCTTCCTGGGAAAAAAAAAGTCCTTTTGTATGGAATGACCCAATGTCCTTGTCTCCCTAAATAGTCTAGGGAAATGGGATTTTACAGTAAGCAAAATTGTGGACTTGATCGCCTCTAACACCTACCTCCAACGCAACACACACACACACAGAGCTTTGAATCAACCACACCACCCCCTGCTCAGGATCAGTCAGGGCAAACAGTCATGAGTTTCTCTTGGTTTGAAGGCTGTCTTTTAGCCAAATTCAGTCTGTTATAGTCCCAGCCCCGCCCCATGTCCTAGACTGCGTGCTCCCCATGCTACCCTTCAAGCAAGAGGCATGGTAGTTCCTTCTTCCCCTTTGGCCAAGCATTTGGCACCTCCTGTTAAAAGAACATCTATTCCTTCCTTTGCAAGCTTGCAAGCTCCCAAGCTCCCTGCAACACGAGGCAGCCTGTTCCTCACAGCTATTAAGCTCCATTAGCATTCCTGTGTGCGCGTGCTCCACATCAACATCGCCCGCTCCACCAGCGCTTAATTTTCTCCACTATGAGTACTTGATTGTATTTCTTTCTTTCCCTTTTCTCCCCATCTTGAGGGGGCACTCCGTAAGGCTTCACAGTCAATTTCCCCTTGGAGTTATTTTCCTGCTAAGTGAAAGAGTAAAATAACAACGCCAGTTTTCGGCAGAGGCAGAAGCCTTAAGAGATACAATCTGAACCGGGAAAGAAAAAAAGCGCGTGGCTAAATATACTCAGCCACCTCAAACTGTTTGTAAGAGCAGCTTGAAATGGAGCAAAAGGAAGTGCGCGTCTGCACGTGTGCTTTTCATCTGACCTTTGCTGTGGAAACACACCAGCCTTCTCACCTTCAGTCACATCCTTAGTAAACTTCAATTTCTTGGCAGCTCTGAGTTCACACAACCGTATGCTGCAGACGTGTTCTGTTGGCCTCCACCCTGCTCACTTGCACAGTGCTTTTAAAAGGTGTGAATTACTAGCTGACGTTTAAGAATCAGGAGACTCCATGTCAAAATCTGAATTTGGGGCTTCCTTTGAAAAATCAGAAGATTTGGGAACCACATTCTTATATGACAGCAACGACTGGAGCTGAGGAACAGCCATACCCTTAGACAAGTGTGTGCGCTCCAGTGTGCCACGGTCCCCACCATGAGTCCCACTGTTCTAGACACTGAAGATAGAATAAACAATAAATAAGTATATAATATGCCAGCAGGCGATGGGGCTTATACGAGAACTACAGCAGAGTGAGAGGCTGGAGAGACACGGGCAGGGCCTGCGGTGTTAGGTGGGAGGGTGGGAGCTTCCCTTGATAAGGTGCTGTGAGGAGGGGCCTGAAGGAGGAGAGGGAGGAGCCCTGTGGAGAAGAGCATTCCAGGCGCAGGGTGCAGCAGGCGCAGAGGCCCTGAGACATGAAGACAGCAGGAGGCTGGTGTGGCAGGAGCTGAGTGAGCAAGGGGGAAAGGGAGAGGAGGTGAGGCCGGAGAGGTAGTCCTGGCTGAGACAGTGGAGGGCTTTGAGGCTATGGTAAGAGGAGAGATTCTGCTCTGAGTCGGAAGGGAAGCCATCGTAGGATTTTGAGCAGCTCAGCAACTCCAGGGAAAGGAGGGCGCCTCTGTCCAGAGAGTTCTGCCAAAGTGCCAGGCCTTAGTCCTGTTGGCTTTCCTTGGGCTCTGTGTTGTAATGGATGATGAGGCTCCATTTAAATGCTATCCATTCCATTCTAAGTATCAGGAATGAAACAAAGTGTCCATGTTTTCTCTTCGTTAAGATAGCCCTTTTCCCTCATAATGTTCCATCAGTATAAAAAATTCAAATGATAAACAGAAAACAAAAGTCCTTTCATAATCCCACTCCCCAGAGATCACCACTGAGAATAGGTGGGTATATAACCATCCAGACTAAAAATTGCATATATTGATTCTATTCATGATATGCATGTATTAATTATATCCAAGAGGAGATAGTTGATCTGGAGTGTTCCGGTCCTGCCCCATTCCCAGTGAGTGAGATTTCTCAAGTTTAGTTATCTCATTAGTCCCCGAGAGCATAACAGGTGATGGGAAGACTTGACCACCCCACATCTTCTAGAATGCCTTCTGAGTTTTTCTTTCCATTGTATGGATCCTACAATGCGGTGAACTGGATATTTGCCCACAATGACGATTCAGTGTTTTAAAGTCATTGTTACTGGCTGACACGTGTAAACAACTAAAGACCTATCACACCCTGTGTGCCACCAGCAGGTCTGCCACATGTGGACTCTGCTGTGTGACAGCTTGCCCGTGTGTCGTTACTGTGTAGTTAGGCGGTTGTGCCGTCACTGGCCAAGCATCCCCGAGTGGAACAGCCCGCCCCACCCTGTCCCCTGCAGGGCTCCCCAGCAGATCCCTTTGTTTGTCCTTCACTAATTTCAGTGATAAGACTTAAAAAATGAGGGATTGTTTTTAGAGCAGTTCCATTGCTTGGGTACTTCTGCTGTTTTGAATTACCATAGAAAGAACCTTTGAGTGAGTACCTTTTTTTCTTTATTTTCTATTGTTATTTTCACGTAAATGGGATGATACCATCCGGGCTACTTGATAACCCCTCACCTTTTTTACTCAACAACGTCCCGTGGCCATCGCCACACCCGTATTCACTCGACCATCTGCACTCAGTGGCTCAGAGCACTGTTTAGGTTGTTGGCGGCCTGAGTTTGAGTCCTGGTCCACTTATGGCTGTGTTCCTGCAGCGGTGTTGGCAAATCAGGGATGAGTTTGATCAGATCAGCTTTGGGAGCGAGAGCAGAGACTGACTCAACGAGGAGAGAGATGAGGGGCTTGGAGACCAGTGGAGAGAACGAGGACCCAGCGCATCTTCAGGGACAGAAGTAGCTTTTACCACGCCCAGTTCTCTCTGCTTGTCCCTAGGAGACCAAATCTCCCAGCAGCACCACGCCCCGTGATTTTAATTTCTCCCTTCTGAATGCACATGGACACCCTGACCCTGCAAGCAGGACGGACAAAGAAAGGATCCTCTTAACTATTCAGGACGTAATAGTAAGATCGATTTTTAGCATCCCAACAGCGACTGGGTCTTTTCCATAGCCAAGCAGCCGGGCCATAGGCTAGACACCACAAGGCGTTCTTCATTTACTCCTGGGAAAATGACACAGATAACAACAGGATTTGGCTTTAACAAAATGCCTCTGCCCACCCACGAGAATGTTTAAAACAACACATGAGAGATTTGACTTAATGACATTATTTTCCTTTAGTGATAGTAAAAGCTCATGTTAAATTAGCACTTACTAAGTGCTGAGTACCATATGGAGTGTATAACATCCATCTCTGCATTAACCCTGTGAGTTAGGTGCTAGGTATTTTCATTCCCATTTTATAGTTTGAGGAAACTGAGGAATAGAGAAATGATGTTGCTCACCCAGGCCTCACAGAAGCCCAGACTGGAAACCCAGACCCCATGACTCCTTGTTCCTCGAAATTAGCAGTCACAGCCTGGGAACTGTGCTGACCTGATTTTGCTTCCGAAAGCGCCCATCTCTCTGTAGGGGCGCAGTCTGTTGTGAATGTTATTGATGTTGTGCCTGGGAGCAAGGTATTCAGAGATGCTTATCCATCAGCTGTGCTTAAGTGTTTTAAACAATGATCGAGAAGATCTCTCCTCTGCCAGATATCTCCCCAGTGACCCCGTAGCTGGGAAAGTTGGCGAAAAATATTTTTCAAAAATGAAATCCAGTGAGGAAACAACCAGACAAAGCCAAACTGAGGGACAGTCTGCAAAAGAACTGGCTTGCAGTCTTCAAAAATGTCAGTGGTATGAGAGACAGAGAAAGGCTATTCCAGATTATAGGAGGCTAACGAGATCCCGCAGTAATGCGATGTGAGGTCCTTGGGGAGCCGGCGAGATTGCTATAAATTTGAGGAAGGTTTTGGGAAATTAGCAAAATTTGAAAATTACCTATACTAGATAATAATATATTGATGTTGATGTTAAATTTCCTGAATTCAATAATTATATTGTGGTTATATAAGAGAAGGTCCTTGTTCTCAGGTTTTCTGAGAACTGATAGAAGAATTGGTGAATGTAGGTAAAGGGTGTTTGGGCATTCGTTATACCCTTCTATTATACTATTCTGATAAGTTTTCTATGAGTTGTACATTTTTTCAAGATAAAACATTTTTAAAAAGCTGCCACATTAAGAAAAAGATAAGCTGCTTCAACAGAGCTAAACATCAGCAAAGGAAGAAAGAGAGAGAAGTAAAAAAGGGGACCTAGTTTAAAAAGCTTAGTGGGATTGTACTGATGTGAGTTTCCTGATGGTGCTGTTGTGCTATGGTCATGCAAGATGTTACCATCGGGAGAAACTGGATGCAGGGTACCTGGTATCTCCCTGTATTGTTTCTTACAAGTGGCATTTGAAATCTACAATTAGCTCAAAATAAAAAGTAAAAAACTAATAAATAAACACAAATGTCCAGGTGCTGCCACCCAGAGGTTCTGATTCTGATCCTGGGTTTGGGTTCAGGCATGGTTCTTTTTTTAAGTGCCCCATGTGAGTATAATTTGCAGCAATGTTTGAGAACCACAGTTATAAGGAAAAGATAGAGCTGTGGATCTCAAAGTTTGATATGCACAAGAATCACTAAGGATATTTATTTAAAATGCATATTTTAGGTCTAATTTTTAAGCAAAAGCAAACAGAGTTTCTATATAGGAGGTGTGGGAGGAGTTGTTCACAGAAGAATTTCCAGTGATTCTGAATCAGAAAGCATGAAGATTAGAGTCTATCTCAAATGGAAGGAAGGTTTTGGAGATAATTTGGACTTTGTGGCTTGGATTTGGGGACTATAAAAGAAAGAAATTTAAAAATTCAAAGTTAAAATCTCTTCTACGTTATGCAAAATTAAGATAACAGTAAAAAAAATTAAAAAAACAGGGGCCAGCCTGGTGGTGTAGTGGTTAAGTTCGCAAGTTCCATTTCGGCCGCCCTGAGTTTGCAGGTTTGGATCCCGGGTGCAGACATGGCACCTCTCATCAAGCCATGCTGTGGCAGGCGTCCCACATATAAAGTAGAGGAAGATGAGCATGGATGTTAGCTCAGGGCCAGTCTTCCTCAGCAGAAAGAAGAGGATTGGTGGTGGATGTTAACTCAGGGCTAATCTTCCTCAAAAATAAATAAATAAATAAAACAAAAATCCCCAGAGATTCACAAAAGCCAGAAAGGGATGGAAGGGGGCTCTGCCCTTGTCTTCAAAACCGTACCCTACACTTCTGGAAACTCGGGTGGAAGAGGATGTCACTTAAAATAGTAAATGAAAGATACAAAAGCGCAATAGCTCCTGACAACATCTTCTGTATTACAGATCGATTTCTATCCAGAATATTGACCATTAGTATCAAGAAAAGGCTAAATTATATCCTGCATACTTTTTTGGGAAGATAAGGTAGTCAATATATTTTAGAAACTTTTTTTTTTTTGAGGAAGATTAGCCCTGAGCTAACTGCTGCCAATCCTCCTCTTTTTGCTGAGGAAGACTGGCCCTGAGCTAACATCCATGCCCGTCTTCCTCCACTTTATACGTGGGATGCCTACCACAGCATGGCTTGCCAAGCAGTGCCGTGTCCGCACCCAGGATCCAAACTGGTGAACCCCAGGCCGCTGAAGTGAAATGTGCGCACTTAACCACTGTACCACCAGGCCGGCCCCTAGAAATATTTTTATATAAAATTATTTTATTTAGGTTTTTGACTATTTAAAGAGATGAATTTTAGATGAATAGAAAATTAATTTTGTATTATTATATTAAGAAAATGAATATACACCCTTCATATATGGTTTTTCTCACTTTGGTTACATTCAAAATATGTCTCAAACTTGAGAAAAAACAATCCAGAGAAAATAGGAGCATGTAGGAGAGTTAGTTATGACTTGAAAAAATTATGCTCAAATTCAAGATAAGGTTAGGAACATAGTGAAGAAGGGAAGAGAAGGTGGCCAAAGGGAAGGGTCTGGACCCATGACAGCAAGGGCCAACTTCGGCTCACAGATGTATTTTGTTGGCTGGCCTGATGTTGTGCTGTGGTCATCGTTGTTGCTGTTCTGTTTTGAATTAGAAGACTTATCCTGAGTGTGCCCCCTCCAGCTGACCCTGGTCTCCACCACTCCCTATGGTGTGACAGAAACTCACATTGCCATTTGACTCTACATTACATCTTCTGAAGATGCTGGAGTTTGTGACTTCTGTTTTAGGGAGTAGAAAGAGCAAGTGACAGCCTCAGCAAGCCTGGAGAGGATAGTTTGGGCTTTTTCGTAAACTCTGTGGGACCTTGGCTAAGTCACTCTTTTGGAGCCCCCATTTCCTTCCCTATGACAAGAAGGGGTAGATTCGGTATTTCTTGTGCCTGTCAGCTCTGAAATCATAAATCCGAGGTGGAGATTATAGGTCTTGCCATACAGGTATACCTCGGAGAGACTGCAGGTTTGGTTCCAGACCACCGCAATAAAACTAAAATGGTAATAAAGCAAGTAACACAAATATTTTGGTTCCCCAGTGCTTATAAAAATTATGTTTCACTATACTGTAGCCTGTTAAGTTTGCATAGCGTTGTGTCTAAAAAGACAATGTAAAAAGCAATGTATGTACATTGCTAAAAATGCTAATTTTTAGCATTGCTAAAAACATTAGCATTGCTAAAAAATGCTAATCTTCATCTGGGCCTGCAGTGAGTCGTAATCTTTCTGCTGGTGGAGGGTCTTGCCTCAGTGTTGATGGCTGCTGACTGCTGAGGGTGGTTGTTACTGAAGGTTGGGGTGGCTGTGGCAATTTTTAAAAATAAGGCAATGAAGTTTGCCACGTTGATTGACTCTTCCTTTCACGAATGATTTCTCTGTAGTGTGTGATGCTGTTTGATAGCATTTTACCCACAGCAGAACTTCTTTCAAAATTGGAGTCAGTCCTCTCAAACCCTGCTGCTGCTTTATCAACTAAGTTTATGTCATATTCTAAGTCCTTTATTGTCATTTCCACAATCTTCACAGCATCTTCACCAGGAGTAGATTCCATCTCAAGAAACCACTTTCTTTGCTCATCCATAAGAAGCAACTCCTCATCTGTTAGTTTTATCATGAGAGTGCAGCCATTCAGTCACCTCTCCAGGCTCCACTTCTAATTCTAGTTCTCTTGCTGTTTCTGCCACATCTCCAGTTACTTCTTCCACTGAAGTCTTGAAACCCTCAATGTCATCCATAAGGGTTGGGATCACTTCTTCCAAACTCCTGTTAATGTTGGTGTTTTGACCTCTTCCCATGAATCACAAAAGTTCTTAATGGCATCTAGAATGGTGAATCCTTTAGAAAAAGTTTTTGACTTACTTTGCCCAGATTCATGAGAGGAATTACTATCTATGGCAGCTATAGCCTTATGAAATGTATTTCTTAAATAATAAGACTCAAAAGTCAAAATTACTCCTTGGTCCATGTACTGCAGAATGGATGTTGCATTAGCAGGCATGAAAGCAACGTTAATCTCATTTTACATCTCCATCAGAGCTCTTGGGTGACCAGGTGTATTGTTAACGAGCAGTAAGATTTTGAAAGAAATCCTTTTCTGAGCAGTAGGTCTCAACAGCAGGCTTAAAATATTCAGTGAACCATGTGGTAAACAGATGAGTTGCCATTCAGGCTTTGTTGTTCCACTTATAGAGCACAGGCAGAGTCGATTTAGCACAATTCTTAAGGGCCCTAGGATTTTCAGAATGATAAATGAGCATTGGCTTCAACTTCATCACCAGCTGCATTACCCCTAACAAGAGAGTCAGCCTGTCCTTTGAAGCTTTGAAACCAGGCGTTGACTTCTCCTCTCTAGCTATGAAAGTCCTAGGTGGCATCTTCTTCCAGAAGAAGGCTATTTCATCTACATTGAGAATCTGTTGTTTAATCTGTCATTAATTATCTCAGCTAGATCTTCTAGATAACTTGCTGCAGCTTCTACATCAGCCCTTGCCACTTCACCTTGTGCTTTTATGTTACGGAGACCGC